TAAAACTCGAGGTTCCTCATCTTCGATCGATCAAATGTCATTGTTCGAACAAACCACATCGTTAATTTATAATAGAGGAGATTATTCCAACGTCGTACGAGGATGGGTTAATTTAGTCGTCACATGATTTCTTACCTCCTTCCAGATCTCTACGTTTAGTCTATTAGTCGAATCCCTGTCCAGTTAAGTTCGTTCTGGTTTAAAAAGGGTTTGTATTCGGTTGAATTGATATAAGTCTTGAAAACAAGATCGGATATCTGACAAAAGAAAGGATGCATGGATGGTCATTTAGAAGTGAAAGCAATGTTAAAAAATGCAACAAGAGCATATCTACTCCCATTTTATATTCTCGCTTCCAAAAAACCAAAACCGACCAAAAGAGGCATGAAAGTGCCAAGAAATTGACTAAGAAGGGAAAGGAAACCACAAATTAAAACAAAATTATTATATCTCGAAAAGTCCGGAACAGGGGTCCAGTGATTGAATTAGCAATTACATATCTTTCATTACTATATTTTAAATTGGCAATGATTTTTTTGGCTAAGTTTATGCTTGCGTGTTGAATGAGTCAATATAATCAAATATGGGTATCAATTCTTTATCAATCGATCTACACGGAAATCAGATAAAGTACATTTTGATGCTCATTATGCTTGGTTATGAAAATTAAATTAATTAATTATTATCTTTCAAGTATCCTTTTTTTTTTAACCTGATATCTTTATAGTATACACAAGCATATCATTTTACCATTGGAAAAGTTATATTTTTTGTCAACAAAAGAGTTATATATTAATTTCGAATTTCGATATAAAAATACGATATTTATATACTGTTTGGACATCATTTTGCCATTCGTACATTAATCAATCAAACCAATTAGACCCTAATCCGTCACGATGCTTCGTATTAGCAGACATGTAAAGTAAGGGTCTTTTCAGAGACCGTTGATGTTTCCTACCTAGAAGACCGGTGACCATGTTAATTTTTCATTCATCCTTGTATTTTTTTTTTAAAAATCATTTTTATTTAGTATTAAAAGTTAAAACGCAATATTATAATCACTAATAATAATAAAAAAACTCATAAAAATCATAAAAAAATATTTTTTTTATTAGACCTAATAACATTGGAATATGATTTGGGGGTGTTTGACAAGATGAAAAAGTGCTTTTCAAAAATATTTTTTGGCAAAACAAGACAGACTCTTCTACATATTTATTTCGTATATCATAAAAGTATTTTAAAAACTATAATTTAGCTTCCATCCAAACATACCTTTAGTGATTCTTTCTTTTGAGAAACAGAATTACACAAAAAGCAAATAAAATCCGTACAGATAAACACAAGAGAAAAAGCGTAGGAAACACCTTATCAATAATCATAATACAGTCTTCAAGGTCAAAGTTAAAAATTAAAAAATTAGGATTCGTAGGTTGCGTCTCTCTTTACCATTTAACTGTTATTTCTTTTATTTTATCTTTTTCTTGAATTTTTAATTTTTTACTTATAATTTTTTTTTTTAAAAATGATTGAAGTCATCAAACATGGGATTTCGAGTCTCATAATTGGAAACAAGATGCTGTCTTTTGATTGAAAACAATGGATTAGATCTCATATTTCAATTTTGTTAATTTGTTAATTTCTTATTTCAATATTTTTTTACTTTATTTAAAAAAATAAAATAAAATCTTTCAACCAAAAGGATCCATATATATGTGTGCGCGCGCCCTTTTTCAGACATAATGCATGCCTGCATGAGTGAAGGAGTGCAACTTTCCCTTAAAAAATGTTAATCTCAAATTGTATACTCCTTTCTGTCTTATTTATAAAATCCTTTTCATAAAAAAACAGTTAAAATTAATTAAAAAATAAATATTTAAAATTTAAAATTTTTTCTAAGTATACCTTTATTTAATAAAGGGATAAATAAGAAAAAAATTACTAGTAATAAGATAAAGAATTAAAGAAAATATAATACGAGAGAAATAGGAGTAGACATAATTTAAAAAATTAATTAGGGATAAAATTGATAAAAATACATTTAATGGTCATACACTGTTAAATATTCCTCTTGTCCTATTTATAAGTCACTTCTAATATGTTTTACACAAACTAATGAAAACCTTAAATTTCATTAACCGTCATTTAAAATTCAATAATTTTTTAATTTTATTCCTGTTTAATATACACTATGCCTCATGTAAACAAAATCAACACAATAATAAACGAAAAATAAAATTATATATCCATATAAAAAATTTCTACTAGTGTTCTCTAAATAGGACCAAAAAATGTCTTTTTTATCTGCCATATAAATAGAATCAAAGGAGTATAATCTTATAAAAAAGACCAAAATAATTTAAATTTCGGGATCTTAATTATGAGAAGGGAATAGTGTTTGAAATAGCCAATTTTTTTGCGTAAATTCTTTTTTAGGCCTCAAGACAACTCGTATAATTAATTGAGGAAGAAAACTATTCAATTTACACAGTCGGTGCATGTAAAGATCCCAACAATCTGCTGAATTTGTTAAAAGTCCATTTTTGGCGGCAAGGCAAACACATGCTTAATACAAAGTTTGTCCAGCTGATAAATACTATGTGATAGATCACATATTATCATTTAATATGTTGCTAATTGTGGGTCATATTCGAGTGTAAACATCAAGTAATTTATGCGAATTCATGGTCAAAAAAAAAAAAACAAAGAAAAGAAAAGTAGGTTACGTATGTGACTTTGTACGTATCGATAAAACTGGATGCTCTCTAAAACCACTTTTTGCCAAATGAACTTGTAAATGGGTCAAGCACACAGATTTGGCGTTGGAAAAACACTATTCACATATGAAAACTATTACAACACGTAATAATATGAAAGCTCATGGCATGATCAAGTGAATTTGTTTCTCTCAAATTGTTTGCTTTAATTGATTTTGATAATTGTTTTCTTTTGTATTAACGTACTATTTTATTCTTTATTTATTACTGTATAGATTGTTATTTTTTTGGGAAAATATATACTATATTAAATAGGGATAGAATTGAAAAATTGTTAAATTTTAAAGTAAAATTAATAAAACATGTCAGAAGTTATTTATAAGTAGAACTAAAATAGTAAATAAAAAAGTTCGTAAAAATTAATTGAATGTGTTGGCTGAAAAAAGTTGAATGCAATAAATATATGATCTCTTTCTATTTTTCTCCAAGAATGTCTCGCCTGAGACTAGGAAGCCGCTCTTTAGTCCCTTCCCAAAACAGCACTCTTTTTAGAGTTTGGGAAGAGGACGATAAGTATCTCCAGCCTAACCCTTTAGCTTCAAATATATCGGGGAACCCATTCTCCATAAAGTCTTCATCCAACGACTTCATAGAACAAAGAATCAATCATCACTAGGAGTAATGGCGAGCCTTCCGGCTCTCTCGATGGCGGATTTTCCAATGATCAAAGCTCCTAGGCGGCACTCGGCGGAGGAAGCTGATTTACTGCAACGTTTTAAGAAGAAGATTAAATCTAATGCTGGAAGCGAAGGGGATGATGAAGGAAGACAGAGATCTTTCTCTGAAATGCTTAAAGGCACTGGTGCGAACACGGAGGTAGAGAATAGAAGACTGAATATGGAAGACGATGGAGTCCCATTTGGCTCGATGAAGTCGCACATTACTGTTTTGAAGCACCAAAAAGGTAGGTTCGCTGTTTCGGAATTCGTCTTTTCGAATGAAGCCCTGCAGAAAATCAGAAAACCTTTTAAGTTGAGCTTAATTGTTAAGCTCTTAGGCAGGAAATTGGGATTAGTAAGGATGGAGCAAAGAATTCAAAAAATGTGGGCTAGATCAGGGGTGGTTTCGGTAGTTGATCTCTCAAATGATTTTTTTATTGTCAATTTTACGTCTGTTGAGGATTATGAACTGGCTCTTATGAGGGGACCATGGATGATTTCTGACTTGTATCTCACTGTGAGGGAATGGAAACCAAATTTTGACCCTAAAGTGGAGGCAATTGAAGAAGTGTTGATTTGGGTTAGGTTTCCGGACTTGCCCCTGGAGTATTATGATGAGGGTATCCTAGAAGCTATGGGGAATGAGATTGGAAGTACAGTTAAGGTGGACATGTCGACATCTATGCAAACTAGAGGGGGATATGCAAGAGTGGGTGTGCAGGTGGACCTGAGGAAGCCTCTCCTTCCCTTGTATATCATTGATAAGAAGGAAAGACCCATAGTTTATGAAGGGCTTCACCTCTTATGCTTTTGTTGTGGTATGTATGGACACACTAAGAAGGAATGTAGTGAGAAGAAGCATGGTTTTAGAGAAGAGGGTCAAGCTAATCCTGAAGTCCCAAGTGAAAGGGAGGAATATGTTTTTGGTGAATGGTCTAAGGTACAGAAGAATAGGAGTCTGCGCAGGTTTAACCAAGGCAACAGAAAGGAAGAAGTATCAAGAGGGGGTCAGAATGGTTCAGGCTCAAGGTTCAGGAACCTAGCGAATGTGACTGAAGTAGAAATTCATGAGAATGAACTGATGGTGGAAGACAAAAGGCCAACAGAGGTTGTACAGGAGAAGATATGGTATAAGAGGAAATCTATGGAAAACTCCAAAGCAAATAATAATGAATCACAAATGAGCTTACCTGTGGTGTATGAGAACAGGGAAGTCGTGAAGTGTAGCTCCAAGTCTAACAAGCAAGGTAGCATGAAGGGGAGACAGAGGACTGTTAATGAGGACACTATTGCAGTGCGCAACAATAGTACTATGATTGTGGACTCTAATAGAGGCTGTTTGAAGGAATTGGATGTTAATGTTGTCCAAGAAACCCCAGAAATTGCAAAAGAAATCCTACAATTCAAAGATGGAAATGAAGGAAGACCCCCTAATTCTGGAGGGGTGGAAGAGAATGAGGTCAATGGTAGTGGGATGGAGGATGCAGAGAGGCAATGGAATAGTGCTGTGATGAGCATAGATTAATTGCTGATTTGGCCCCCTCTTATTTCTATTTTACCCATGAACTATGATCATCAGTTTTTGGTGTGGAACTGTAGAGGTGCTGGTAGCAGGAGGTTTGAGAGAAGTTTAAAGTTGCTGGTGCAGGAAAGGCGACCGGTTTTGGTGCGTCTTTTGGAGACTAGAGTTAGTCATACCAGGGCAGAGGAAGTGTTCCATAAAATAGGGTTAACCAACTTTGTGGCTGTGCCAGGTTTAGGATTTTCTGGTGGTATTTGGGTGGCTTGGAGAGATGATGAGCTGAAGTTTTCAGTGCTAAAAGAAAATGCGCAATATGTACATTTGGCAGTAAAGGGGCCGAGTAATTTGGAGTGGGTGGTTACTATTGCCTATGTTGGGCCAAGGGAAAGAGATAAATGCTTGTTCTGGGAAGAAATGTTTCAGTTTACTTTAGTTTCTGCAAGCCCTTGGTTTCTCTTGGGAGACTTTAACGATATTAGAGACCAAGGGGAAAAGAAGGGAGGAGCACCTATTCTGTTAAGGAGATGTGAGCTGTTCAATGAAAGAATTAATAGGTGCAGCTTGATGGATGTCGGTACTTGGGGAAATAGATTCACCTGGAAGGGGCTGATTCTGCAGGGTTATGAGAGAAGTTTTGAGAGGCTGGATAGGGGTATGTGTAATGTAAATTGGAGATGCTCCTTTCTAAATGCAATGATAAAAGTTTTGACCAGAATAGGGTGTTCTGACCATAATCCTCTGTTGCTTTGTTTGGGAGAGAGAAATAAGCCTAGTGGCGAACGCCCTTTCAGATTTGAAGCGGCATGGTTGCTTCACAATAACTTTGAGGAAATGTTGCAGAAGAACTGGAATAGGGAAGGTAAATTTAATGGAAGACTTAATAAATTGCGTGATAGTCTTATTTCTCGGAACCGTGAAGTGTTCAGAAGTATTCATAAAAGGAAGAAGCTTTTGGTTGCGAGACTAGATGGAATCCAAAAGAAAATCAGTAATTGCAATAGACCCAGCCCTTCCTTAATCAAACTGGAGGATAATTTGCAGAAAGAACTTGAAGATGTGCTGAGTCAAGAAGAGATACTGTGGTACCAGAAATCTAGAAGAGAGTGGATTAACGATGGAGATAGAAACACTAAGTTCTATCATGTTCGAACTCTTGATCGGAGAAGGAGAAATAAGGTAGCTATGCTAAAAAGGGATGGAGAAATTTGGGTAGAGGATCAAGAAGAATTAAAGGAAATGGCTAAGGATTTCTTTATAAAGCTATTTACTGAAGAAAAGAATTCTGACCAGCAAGATTTAGGGGTGACTGAGAACCTGATGATCACCTTTCCCACTTTACCATCAAAAGAGATAGAATGGATGGATAGAGATATTGTGGATGAGGAAGTGAGGGATGCCATGTTTTCAATTGGAGCCTTTAAAGCCCCCGGTGAAGATGGTTTCCCTGCTATTTTCTTCTAAAGAGAATGGGAGTTTATAGGCCCTGATGTGAGTGAGTTTGTGAAGAAACTTTGGCGAAATGAGGAAGATTTGCAAGAAGTGAATAAGACTTTGCTGGTGTTAATTCCTAAGGTGGAAAGGCCTGATTCCTTAAAGCAAATGAGACCTATTGGCCTATGCAATGTTGTTTACAAATGTGTTTCTAAAATTATTGTTAAAAGGATGAAACAGATTCTTAATAGGGTTGTATCCCCTAACCAAGCCAGTTTTGTGCCAGGCAGACAGATTCAAGACAATATTGTTGTTGCCCAAGAGATTATTCATTCTATGAAACTCTTGAAGGGAAAGGTTGGCTATTTTGCTATTAAAATTGATTTGGAAAAAGCCTATGATAGGCTAAGGTGGAGTTTTATTAAGGAAGTCTTAGGTGAGTTGGGCTTAGCTGAGGGGTTCAAGAAGTTGTTAATGAGGTGTATTACCTCTGTCTCTATGCAAGTGATTTGGAATGGTGAGAAGACTGAAGGTTTTAACCCCTCTAGAGGAATTCGACAAGGAGACCCCTTGTCCCCCTATATTTTTGTTCTTGCTATGGAAAAATTGTCCCATATTATTCAAGGGGCCAAGGAAGGAGGGCGATGGCGAGCCTTTAAGGTGGGAAGAAATGGCCCTGAGATTTCTCATCTAATGTTTGTTGATGACCTAATGTTGTTTGGGGAAGCTTCAGAAGAACAAATGAGGTTAACTATGAAGTGTTTGGAGCATTTCTGTGATATTTCTGGACAGAAGGTTAATGCTGGTAAGTCAGCACTCCTTTTCTCCAAGAATGTCTCGCCTGAGACTACGAGGAAACTGGTTGATCTCTCTGGTTTTGTTGAAACAGATGAATTAGGAAATTACTTAGGTATTCCACTCAGTAATACAGGGGGAAATTGAAGAACTATGGCTATGTATTAGACAAGGTCAAGAGAAGATTAGCTAATTGGAAGGTTAATTGCTTAAGTATGGCTGGCAGAATTACCCTAGCAAAGTCTGTCATGGGAGCGATTCCTATTTACCCAATGATGGTGACCTTGTTACCTAAAGGTCTTCTAGAGGAGGTGGAGCGGGTGCGACGGAATTTTATATGGGGCCATAAGGAGGAAACCTGTAAGGTGCACCTAGTTGGGTGGGATACTATTAAGAAACCAAGGAGGAACGGAGGACTAGGGGTGTTAAGCCTAACTGAGATGAACCAGGCTTGTTTACTAAAGATGGCATGGAAGCTGAGGAATAAGTCTTGTGGTTTTTGGGCAAAAGTTTTGAAATGGAAGGATAATTCTGGTAATGAGCTCTCTTCAATCCTTCATATTCCAAAGGTTGCCTCTCCTCTATGGAGAGATATTGGTGTGGTTTGGGAGGTGTTAAATGCTCACTCTTGGAAGGGGATTGTTGATAGTAAAGATACCTCTTTTTGGCTTGAACCCTGGGTGGATAAGGATACTTTACTTATCAACTCCTGTGTGAAAGAGGTCGATGATGGGTGTTTGGAAAGCTCGGTTGCCGATATGGTAGATTTTGACCGGAGTTGGGACTGGAGAAGGCTTCAGGCTCTTCTAAATAAAGAGGCTCCAAAAAAAACTACGTGCTTTTCATCCTCCATATGCCGTAGGCTCTGATGTGGTTCCGTGGAAAGGCAGCAAGTGTTCATATACGGTGAAGGAAGGGTATAATAAACTAAGAAGTGACAATTGTGGAATTCGAAATAAATTGTGGGAACTAATTTGGAAGTGGAATGGGCCAGAAAGGATTCGATGTTTCCTATGGCTTGTGGCTCATGACAGTCTGCATACAAATGCTCTGAGATTCAAGAGATGGGGAGCGGAAGGAGCGTGTGAGGATTGTGGAAGTTTTGAAACTACTTTACATGCTGTCAGGGATTGTAGGAGGGCTAGTGCAGTTTGGCTAGAAATCTCTAATGACAGTCATATCCAGTCCAATTTTTTCTCTGATCCCCTCATACAATGGCTAATTTCTAACCTTAGTGATAGAAGGAAGGTTAGAGACATACCTTGGTGTATTATCTTTGGTGTCACCACCTGGATATTGTGGAAGCAGAGGAATGAGTTTGTGTTCCAGACTTCACAAAAAATAGGCGGGGCTCTCGTTCATAGAATTTGGTTTCTTGCAGACGAATTTATGAATGCTAAAGGTCTAGTTGTAAAGTCGAATATCAAGACTTTGACTGTTCAAAAGTCGTGGTCTGCTCCGGATCTGGGGTGGATTAAGATCAATTCAGACGGTGCTTGTTGTGGTGATCCGAGCTTCGCGAGTTGTGGAGGTGTCCTGTGAAATGAGGAAGGTGAGTGGATATGTGGTTTTGCCCAAAGACTTGGCTTTTGTGGCGTGATAGAAGCAGAAAGTTGGGGGATTTTGAAAGGGCTTACCTTGGCTTGGAATAGAGGCTTTCGTAAGATCATCATGGAAACTGACTCTGAAATTCTGGCTAAGCGATTGAAGGGCAAAGAAACTGCTGGTTTCGTTGATAGGGTCCAAAGAGGAATATTGGAGCTCTTGGAACGTGACTGGACTGTGAGAATCTGCAAGATTGGGAGAGATCTGAACATTTGTGCTGATGCTTTGGCAAAATGGGGCTTGAAATCCGACAATGTAAGCAAAATCTGGGAAGAAGTTCCAGAGTGGCTGCGTGTTCAGTTCGAGAAAGACAAAGGAAGTTTGCTGACTTCGACTCACGGGATTGATGAAGGCTAGATGTTTTTGTTCCTTTGGGCCTTAGGCCTCTTTCTTTCACCAAAAAAAAATGTAGAAGTTAGTTGAGAGGTTTATTTTGATCCTCAATATAAGATCTTAATATATTTTGTCTCTCAAATTCATAATTTTTCTCAAACTATCTTTATTAATTGCATACATTAAGAGGATTTATATTAATAAGTAATTTTAATGCAAACAATTAAAAATGTTATTTTAGAAAAATTAATGCACATTTTTATAACTAGGTAACTTAACTAATTTTTTTTAGTCTCTGAAAATTAGTTATACAATTTCTACATTTATGATGCAATTTTATTTTCAAAGACACCCTTATTTATAAAAAGATAAAGGAAGAATGAGCTAATAGGAGCACGTAATAATCAATGCAATGGGGCTAATTAATGATTAAAGTCTCCAATCCTTTTCATAAGATCCAAATAATTGAATTGCGTAGTTCAAATAAGAAATTTGTTAATAGTAGTTAAAAGTAATAAATATATTAAAAAAATGTACTTTGTTTTAATATACTCTTATTTATAAAAAGGCTAGTAAAAAGGAGAAAAAGAAGGAACATGATTCATTGCCCATGCATAGAAGAAAAACCAAATCAAGTAACTGTGTCCAATTAAATAGTTGCGGCATTCCCTTGTCTTCTGTTACATACAACTCAATCAATTGACGTTTCCAAGCATGTACACCAACGACTTCTTCTCCTATACATAAGAAAATGTTTGCAGACAGCTATTTATAAGAAATACTATAATAGTGCTTGTGTAAAATTTTTAATACCATTTTCCATATTTACCTCATTAATTATTGATTAATCTTACAGTGTTAAATACTCCATATTCTTATTTGTTCATTCTCCACATAAACATTCCCGGAGACAGTCATGTTCCGATCAATTTATTACTTACTCTGGATAGGCTTGACTGAGAGATGTATTTGTTTTTTGTGTTGTTGTTGAAATTTGAGATTTTAATAATCTTAATATAAACAACTCAAAGTTCAATGATCTCTCAATTTAAAAGAATTTAAATCCCAAGACTGATCTCTCCCATGCCTGGAGTGCAGAAGTGGTGTTTGGTGGCGTGACAAAGTTTGGTGAGAAGGAAAAAATGGTTGATTGACGAATGGAAAAAGGTTCTTTTAATTTGACCCTTTTAAACTTTTTATTTATTTTTAGGGAAAACTATTTCATAAGAATCTATATTTTTTTATTTTTAATTTAATATCTATGTTTTTCTCTTAATTAAATCTTTTAATTTTGTTCTTTCTCCAACATTGTTAACTTCCGCATAACAACTAACAGAGCAAAATCACATAAGTTAATGATGTTAATAAGTAAAGTTAAATGATTTATTCAAGAGAAAAAAATATAAATAACCAATTAAAAATTGAAGAAAAAATATAGCCACCTACAAAAGAGTTTTTTTTATTGGATGGTAAATTTGTTGCTATAAGATATGAAATATACTCATCATATTTTAGAAAAAATATTAAAAAAACACAAACTTAAAAATTGATCTACTCATGAAGGATCATGCCAATCGCCTTAGAGTCTAATGTCATATAAACTCTTCTATAAGTGAGAGGTTGCAAGGTATGATTTAATCTTATAGTTTTAAGTTGTTAGTACATGTCTTCTAATTAAAAAATCACACCCGCACACACACACATCCATAAGTCGAGTGCTCTTTTTCTTAAAAGATAAGGTTGAACTCATTTTGTATGATGATTGAAATAGACAATTTGTACGTTAGTTTTTAAATTTTTTTTCCTATTGCTCTGGTCTCACGACAATTTGTATAATTAATCATGTGATCAAGGAACATAGCTGAAGTGAATGTATCATGACTTTGCCAGCAGGAGGATGGAAATTATTCAGTTTAGTCGGTGGCTAGGTTGACAATTGAATAATTGCTAATTAAATTAAATAAGTTTGTGGAATATTTATGACATTTAGTTTTTGCGAATTTTGACCGCCGCGAAAGATAGAAGAAATCTTTTATTTATTAAGAAAAGTTGTGTCATTTTCTAAATTGGTTAACAATTTTAGTTTCAACGTGTTCAGAATAAAGTTTATCATCTCCGTAATATTTGGTTTAACTTCATTTAAAATCTTCTTTGTTTTAAAATTAAGCTTCTTTTCAGTTAATTGTAAATGTTAAAAAATTATATCGGAATTTCTCCCAATTAGGATACAAAATACTTAAATATGATCTAAATACTAGTATCAAATTCTAGATAAATATATATCAATAAATGAAATC